CATTGAGCTAGCAACCCATTTTGTAAAATGAACTATCTGCTCATATACATTTTTTTTCACACACACACTTGTTCTTATATTAGCCTGAGCAAGAAATTTTTTTGTTTGTAAATTTGTGCTTTTGAGTGAGAAATACTTGGTTATGGAAGTATATTGTGTCATTGTATGATTTTCTAAGATTATAATGATTGTTGAACTCCTGTACAGCAAATAACGAATTATTTGTATCAAAGGGTGGCTAAAATTGGTCTTCGCATCAAATCAAGTAGTTGTAAAACTTTTTTAAGTGGAGCAACAACCAAAATTTCTCTCATATGACAACAAGGAGGAAAGTTTGTCTTTCCCTTTAATCATGAAGGTTTAGCATATAATTAAGAACCCTTTGATATTAGCAAAAGGTAGCTGGACGTACCCCCATAGCTCAGCTGTCTGAAAGGGATATGCTTGCAATTAAGAAAAGTGTTCTTCTCTCTCCTTCTGCTGCTTCTTCTTCTTCTTCTTATTTTAACAAGGATGGGGACTCGGAGAAAAGTCCCTAGCCACCTCTCATTACTTTCCAACAGGTTGGTTACGTACATTGTCAATAACCCAAACCATAGGTTACTAACAAACTTCAAGAACACTAACAAACTTTAAGAAAAGTACTTATTCTTAATGAAAATTAACTTCAAATTTTAAGTAAAATTGTAAAAAATCTAGCTTAGCTACTAAGATCGTCATCTTGAGAATACTCTGCTACGTATTTTGCTTTGATACAGTCGTTGAGTATAATACACATTGATTAATTTAAGCGCTCTATACATGTGAATTTAGTAAAGGATGGGCCTTTTGTCATGTACTCTAGTTAATCACCGAGTTATGTTAGGACATGAAAGAAATTATGATCATAAGTCTTAATAGAGTAAACTGAAGCTGGTATGTCCCTCAAAATTCCCCATCATGATCAATATATGTTGATTATGAGATTTGTATTAGTTGAGATGCGTGTCGCCTACAAAACTCCAGCCAAAAGTGTGGAGGAACGCACCCTCCCCATTTATTCTATTGGGAAAAAGAAAAGACAAAACCATCATTTCCCCCCTAAAATACTGGTGCTCTCAACTTGCCCCTTAAATTATCAATTTGCATATTTTCCCCTTTAAACTACCCAAAATATGTGTATAGATTCAATACAATCATTTTGTGAGCCTACAATCAAATATTAAACAGATTAATGATGCGTTAGTGTCTTGTTGTTTTTCTTGTATTTTCTGCAATAAAAAAATAATTTTTTTAATTCATAAAAATAGTTAAAGAGTAAAAATTTTGGGAGAGAATAATTAAAAATGCTTTTAGTTTAGGGGAAGAAAGACATAAAATGATAAAAACGATGAAGGAATACGAAAAAAATACTATTATGTTATATCTATTAAAAATTTAACTATAAGCTCACAAAATGATCACATTAAAATTATAACAAAAGTTTGAGAGGCAAAATAAATAAATTAATACTTCAAGGGACAACTTCAGAGCTCACTAATATTTTAAAGAGTGCAATAATATTTTAAAGAGGAAATGATCATTTTGTCAAGAAAAAAAAAACTTCAAATAGAGTAATCCTTGGGTCTCGTCCATGTGGCAAAATTTGCCCCTTTTTCCTCAAATACCAAGTGATCTTTACGCGGATTACTCCTTTGATATAAAGAAAGGATATCATTATAGGAAAATGATAGGGGCACACCATGAACCACACCTCCAACCACATCTCATCTCTTGCTACAGTGCACCGGGCCCCAAATAAGATTTAAAAATTAAATCTCATTTGGGGGCCCGGTGCAATGTAGCAAGAGATAAGGTGTGGTTGGAGGTGTGATTCATGGTGTACCCCTAGTGCCTCTCATCATTATATACTGATAATTTACTAACTTTTCTTTCATTTTGGGGTTTTTCGATATTAGTCCCCCAAATCTTTCATATTCCAAAATTAGTTCCCCAAATATGTTGAGTATTTAAAAATTAGTCCCCCAAATATTACAACATGGTGCAAACTAGTGGGACAAATTTCAAGACATGTAACACATTTGGGGACTAATTTCAAAATGGGCAAAATGACCAGATTGGTATAATTACTTGAGGCTTGGTGACAAGTTAGTATATTTTTTTTTTAAGTTTTGTCAGATTGTTATAAGTTTTTAACTCTGGCGCCATATTGGCCTTAAGTTTGGCCGGAGTTACTGTTCCGGCCAGTGTTGGTGGGATTTTTTGCATAAAACTCCCTTATAAAAAACTTATCATGCTCCTAACCCCCTCCTCCTCATCCTCTTCCTCTCTCCTCTTCCTCGCTCTCTTCTTCATCTCAACCCAATCCCAGCCCTCAGAAACCCCCCCGGGTCTGCAACGGCATCGAGTTATCCTGACAAGTAATCGGATCTCGTAAGCAGCCCTGTTCTTCTCTTCTCCAGTGCCAGCGGATAATTTTTTATCGCCCCATTGCAGTCGCCCCATCCGTTACGCCCAGGTATGAGAGGAGCCGACGAAGATCAGCTGGGTCAGGGCTTACGCCTCTCTCGAACAGATCAAGGATCGATCGTACGTCTCTGATTGCCTGGTCATCCTCCGAATTTGAGCCCTTAACTCCGATAAGGGCTGGGATTGGGTTGAGATGAAGAAGAGAGCAAGGAAGAGGAGAGAGGAAGAGGATAAGGAGGAGGAAGAGGATGCGGAGGAGGGGGAGGGGGTTAGGAGTAGGATAAGTTTTTTACAATGGAGTTTTATGCAAAAAAATCTCATCAACACTGGTTGGAACAGTAACTCCGGCTAAACTTAAGACCAATATGGCGTCGGAGTTGAAAATTTATACCAATCTGACAAAACTTTAAAAAAATATACCAACTTGTCACCAAGCCTCAAGAAATTATACCAATCTGGCCATTTTGCCTTTCAAAATGTGAATAATTGAGGACTAGTTTCAAAATATGAAGCTCTAGAGGCTTCAAAATATGAAAAGATGTGGGGGACTAGCACCAAAAAGCCCCTTCATATTTACATCAATTACTTTAACAATTCATCTCTCTTAATCCCATCTTCATCAAAACTCTAGAGAACCAATAGAACCCAATCGATCTAAATATTCTTAGGTGCTGGCCGCCTGTAGCACAAGAAAAATTATTTAATTCCATCATCTTTAAATTTGCATTTAATTTGTGCTAAATAGTCTACTCCTAATGGTGTGGTGTATGTTACAACTCAATGAGCACCTAAATTTTTTTCAAATCATGACATCCGATTAGAATGAGCGGGTTGCTCTCAATCTCATCATCAAATTATCACTGTTCCCCCTTCTAGGCTCAACTGTTTACACACATTTTACAAAATAAAAGAGTAGACAAAGAAAAAAATGCTATGGATATAAATATAACAATATCAAATAATATTTGCATGTTGCTAACGTGACAAACATCCAAGCCCTCACATCTAACTGATTGAGACTGTAACAGATGGCGGGATGTGCGGTTCGTCAGCAATACACCGACCTCTGTTTAGTCATATGCAAAACAATACTTTCAGTATCAATCATCATCGCACAACTCAAATAGGGAATAAATTGCAAATAACATCCCTCTTCTTCACTTATTAAAAGATGATATGCGCCAATAAACACACAGACGAAGGAAGTTATCGGTAATTTATCCTATGTATAGAAGTCGACCAGTTCATCGAGGGACTCAGGTTTCGGATCTGCATTCTCAAGCATCCAAAGCATGTGCTCGAACAGCACCACCTCGCATCCGATCACCGCAGGTGACTCACCGCCCTCCCCGGAACGTTCTAGAAGGTTCTGGAACAATGGGTGCTTCATCAAGGCCGTTTTCACGAGGTACCTCCTGCGAGATTTTCCAACATATACTGGGTGGTAACCTGAATGCACCTCGTCGCCGTTGAATGATGCAGAGTGCTGCCACATGTCAGTTGAAGAGTGGTGGGGCACGGTGGCGGTGGTAGTGGTGGTGACATTCGAGAGAATGCGGCTGGAGGAGTGCCAGCGTTTGAGGATGCACTTGAGCTTGTTGAGCTTCTTGTTATTAGGAGACATTGTTGTGTGTGTGTGTGAGAGAGAGAGAGAGAGAGAGAGAGAGAGAGAGAGAGAGAGAGAGATTTGGGCATTTAAAGGGGATGTCAACCTGTTGTTGCGGAGATATAGGGCCTTTTATAGAGAGCCTAACTACATGAATTGTAAATGTTCATTAATGAAGATCAATCAAACTCAAAACTTTTATAACTTCTAATCTGGGATTATACTAACAAGTCCATATTTACCCTTCATTTGTTCAAAATTTTAACCTTCACATGTAAATATGTAAGGTATTATTCGGTATTCCAACAGGCAAATCTAACTCTTTGATATAAATCGACAATCCTGACCAAAACCATGACTAGAAACATCCACAGGACCTTTACCTGTCTACGAAAATCAGATATTAATCACTAGAAGCTAGAATAGGACCGAAACTTTTGGTGGTTAGATATAAACCTCAGTCTTAAAAATTTAGCTCCGCTGTTCTTCTAGTTTCATTCTTAGCAACGGATAAATATTTTCTCAATCACAGAAACAGCACCGGATCTATTTTCTTCAATCGCAACCGTCAATCATTTTGTCTCAGGTAAAACATTACGGTATTGCTTATATGAAGCCTTATTATACTTAAATAAACCAGACCTTCGCAATACGCGCAAACTAAGACTCGCGCATCAAGGCACATGGATCCATTACAAGGGTAAATGGGCACAAGTATGAGCTGTAGCTATCACATTCGGTTCACAATTAGCTCCAAAGTATTTCTCTAGATCCGTAAGCAGTTTCAACTTGCCCCTTAAGTACCTTGAAACTAACATTTCTTGCAAATATAGTATGTTATCACTCAAGCAAATAAAAGATTCCCTGCTGGAAAAAAATGTCTACGAAAAACGTTAAAATGTCTGAATATTGGGAATTTGTCCCTATTCCTGTCTTTAAAGATGAATTACAGACGAACTTTTCTTCCGCGACGTACCAGCTTGTATTGCATACAACAAAAATGAAAAAATTTCCCTGCAGAAATCAAACTGGGTTGAGGCTTTTCTATTGGCGACAAAGAAATTTGGGAGCAACTTATAACGCGGTTCAAAGGTGCTAAAAGAAGTCCCCTATGAAATATTAAGAGAAATTCTCTCTTATATATAATGAAAAATGGGGGCAGATCCAACCTCGTCTTCACGAATAATTTATTTATTCATAAATTCAACAAAGTTTGTAAGGAATCTAATGACAGCAGCGCACATGCATATCATTTTCGATTAATATTACTCATCATTGATCACATCATTTATGAATTTGGAATTGTTCTAGACTCTTCTATTTCTACTCTAAAAGGGGTTTGTAAATTTCATATAAATTAATAATGATGCATAAATTACTTCAACTGCTTCTCTGTATTTTAAATTTGTTACTATGAGATTATATGCAAATTTCTGCATCAAAACTTCCAACTGGTTCACTTTACATTGATACAGACTAAAAATCTACTAGTTATACTTTATAATAAGAATCAATTCAACAAAGTTCCATGATGTACAAATAATTAGAATAAAGGAGACAATTGACAAACAAAAGTAGCCAAATAACAGGAAGGAGAAAGGTTGTTTTATGATTGAAACTTAACCTCCTAGTAGTTATTACGATATGTCTACCTAATAATCAGCTAACCAAATCAGAACTACAAGCATAGTCTAATAATAAGATTTGAACTCTCTTATAGACTGTTGTGATCATCCCTAATATAACTGACATCATAACTCTTGTGAACCACATTCATTATACTCATATTTCATTCCAAGTAAACCAAGTTTTGTGTATTTGTATGATAAACTATATGATTAAGAAAATAATGGAGAGGTGATGTACAAGTAATTAGAATAAAGGAGACAATTGACAAACAAAAGTAGCCAAATAACAGGAAGGAGAAAGGTTGTTTTATGATTAAAACTTAACCTCCTAATAGTTATTACAATATGTCTACATAATAATCAGCTAACCAAATCAGAACTACAAGCATAGTCTAATAATAAGATTTGAACTCTCTTATAGACTGTTGTGATCATCCCTAATATAACTGACATCATAACTCTTGTGAACCACATTCATTATACTCATATTTCATTCCAAGTAAACCAAGTTTTGTGTATTTGTATGATAAACTATATGATTAAGAAAATAATGGAGAGGTGATGTACAAGTAATTAGAATAAAGGAGACAATTGACAAACAAAAGTAGCCAAATAACAGGAAGGAGAAAGGTTGTTTTATGATTGAAACTTAACCTCCTAATAGTTATTACAATATGTCTACATAATAATCAGCTAACCAAATCAGAACTACAAGCATAGTCTAATAATAAGATTCGAACTCTTATAGACTGTTGTGATCATCCCTAATATAACTGACATCATAACTCTTGTGAACCACATTCATTATACTCATATTTCATTCCAAGTAAACCAAGTTTTGTGTATTTGTATGATAAACTATATGATTAAGAAAATAATGGAGAGGGTTAGTCTTAATAATATCCCTAATCCAAAATCCAACAAAAGTATGTTGTGAGTTCTTAAATGATGTGGTTTCTTAGGAGCCCTTCAATCTCCGAACCCTAAATTTGTGTTTGGAACCGTCACACTAATTTATAATTATCATATTCAACCGAAGCTTAGTTTGTCAAAAATCAACAACAAATGTGCCTCTTTGTCATGTAGCAGTGGGATTTGAATATGACATGTATCAACACAACAAATTATGGGAGTATCATAGAATTTTTAAGTATTAGAATGTATAAGAGGTATTAGATTGTACAAGGAGATGGCATCAAGGTGCAAGGACACTGAATTTGGCTGGTATTGGCACATTAGCAATATAAAATATCAGAAGGTACCAAGAGATTATTATTAAATATGCAAACTAGAAAAGATGTGAATGCTATTTCTATTTGTTTAGTTTTTACTCTAGCTAATTAGAAAAAGGCATCTGTTGGCTTCTAAACTTGTATACTGAATATTGATTGCATAAGTATAACACCAAAAACTTTTCCCACATGACTCCAAAGTAATGAAAATGGCCTCGTGCCAAAGAAAAATGTATTTATCTTCTTAACTAATTTTTTTCCAAAAAAATCTCTCACAATGGATATGAGACTCATAATCCAAACTCTTTTTTGACTAGGTTGCATCCAATGGAAACCATATCATTTTGCAATAACAAATTATCAAAAAGAAAGAGAAGGATTTCCTTTGTGGCCTGAGGGCATTTCCATCGTTTTGCATTTCCTTCATTTTTGGGTTATATGGGTAAATTTTTTGGTGTTTAAGTGGAAAGGTTTCGTCGGATATCGGGGTTCTGTCCGAAGCACCCCAACGTGCTTTTTTTTAGGAGAGGTTTTTTTTTGTGTGTGTGGGTGGGGGGGTTGGCTTGGGTTTGAAATTTACCCTTCTATTTAAAATTCTCATTTATCCAACCATCAGCACAATCTTACTGATTGGAAAAAAAAATTCAACTATACATTTTGTCGGATAATGATGATTGATACATATTTAAAACAAATAGAGAAGTAAATATTAAATAATACAACCTTATTCAAAGTTTTGTTTGTACGGGTAAATCACCCATAAACAATTGGGTGATGTAATGTTTAAGTTGCTAATGTATGGTGTTAAGTCTTGTTATATATTTGTAACATTTGACCTAGCTCCAAACTCTAGCAATCATTAGCAATAATCAAGGATATCTACCAAAAGAAAGGCTATAATATAAACAAAGTAAATGCCACCACTGATCAATCTAATTTAGATTAGAAATTGAAGTTTGGTTTGCCAAAATGACAAACAAATGTTCATGCTTGTCATATGGTTGGGGGATTTGATTCTTCCAGGAGACATATAAACATTGCCAGTCATGAAAGAATACTCAATGGGCTTTAACAAGCATGTAGAATAGGTGAATTTTCTTCGATTTTTTAGGTTGTAGTAGGGCTCTATGGAATTCAAATACAGTGGATATTTTGTTGCAATATGGACACTTGGAATTAAACTAATGTTTAAGACAACAGTTTCAATCGGCCACTTGCAGCCCAAGACTTATCCCATCAAGTTATAATAGCCCTAGGTTGGGATTTAGCTATAATGAAAAACTATCAAGTGGGAAATTGCACAAAGAACNAGAACGCCCCCCACCCCCCACCCCACCCCAAAAAAAAAACAACCAACCAACCAAAACCCAAGAGAAAAAATGAAAAAACAATACCCTACCCCTCAATGTTTACAAATCGTAAAGACCCCCTAAACTTTGAAGATTATAATAAACCTCTGAACTATCGGAAATTTAAGGAACGTCAATGGGTACATTAAGAGATCTAAACTACCCATGTTATTTTTTACCTACCCTTACATGAGAACGGTATTATATAAATCATATCTAGTAGATAGGGATAAAATCGTCCAACACATGCCTTACATGCTGCAACTTAAAGTAACTGTCATCAATTATGGAGCTTAAGTGAGACAAGTTAAGAGGGGTTCTTATGATTTATAAAATTTAGGGGGGTTTCTGCAAAACCATCCAAAGTCAGGGAGTTTCTGCAAAAGCCCCAAAAGTTCAGGGGGTTTTCTGAAATTTATCCATCCATTCCCATCATCATGTCAACACTACTTCCTTACCATCGGAACTCAATAGAACAGGAGTTATGTATGGAATGTAATAGCAGAGAGCAGGAGTTATGTATGGAATGTAATAGCAGAGAGTTCTATGGTCTACGTGGAATGTAATAGGAGCTGGAGTTCACTGTATAACTTCTATGGAACAATTTGAAGTTTCCTATGAAGAATCAACTCCAGATAACAACAGGTCTATTAACAAGAATTCACCATCAGTTCCTTACGCTTTCATTTATAACATTGGATTAGAGAACTACATACCAAAAAAGCTGATGATAGACCAAATCACCGCTTGTTGAGCCCTTTGAGCCAATCTGCTATGGTCTTTGCGAGTATTCTTGTGTCGTTGAGCGAAAGAGATTTTAAACCCTGGGCGAGAGCATCTGCTGGAGTGTACTGATATCCCACTTGCCATTTTATGTCCTGATCAGGGGAAAAAAGGTAGATATGGTGCTTGTTTACAAACCTAGTAAGTCTTGAACATGTATCAGAATCACTTTCAAATGCCATTTTACTGCACTAATCTAAGGATAGATATTCCTTGGCGTGCCATCAATGTAGTCGACAGAAATCACTAGATATTTTCTCGTATAGAACACACATAAAATTGAGAAAGTTTTATAAAAGAAAGCATGTTTTTGTTGTCAGATTAAGTCTGATATCAACAGTTGCATAGAACTTCGAATATATGCAGGTATCTTAACCTTCATATATGTGTTTTTGTAGAGAAAAAAATGTGAGATTCAACACTAATGACAATAATGTGATCATAATCTTAAAAGATGTGTTTCAAGAGTAAGCTGTGAATACTTGCTGTTTAATTATACAAGTAGCTCTAATTCTTTTATTTGATATTTGAGGCAACAGAATCGGGAGATGTTCCTCTTATATGATTATAATATAACTTCGTTGGGCAGTATGGAGGAACTTTTCTTTGAAAATTGAGAGCCATGCACAAGAAGATATTTTCTAATAATAAGATAACGCACAAAAAGAGAACAATACAGAGATTAAGTAGTTCATGTCAAAGTATCTTGTGAAAGATGATTGTGAAGAAAGCAAGTTCTCTAGCAGCAAATTAAGAATGAGCTAGGTTCCTTGTACCAATTACAATGTCGGAGGAAGACCATGTTGAGTTGACCGTAGAGATAAAATAAGCTGTTCCCTAACAAAATAACATACAAAAAATGCATGCTTCTTTATGGAAAATATTTTTTGAATGTTCACTTTTTATAGAAGAAAAGGGAAAATGGCAATACTTGCCTTTCAGCATTTTACCTGAATACATGGGGTAAGATGATTTCCCGATAAAGTCACCTTCTCTAGAGTACCGCCTATAGATTCAATTCGAGGTCTCAAGATATCTTCAACAATGTCTGTCTCATCACAATAATAGTACTAAGCACTCCCATGGGGCAAGAAAATACCAGTAATGTATTAGGGACATTGTACGAGTTCTTAAATAATTCACGGTTTTCAGAGGGTGTAGGCCTGAACTCCGATGTACCCTGAGTCACCTATGAACAAAGAAAATAACATATCATTACATGATACATAGATTGTGAAACTTGAAATTAGAAAAACAAAATGTATAAATATTTATAGACCTGATTCATGACTAATGGCAGCTGATCAACAAATTTGTTCAGTGATGTTACAGCTTCTTGATCATATTCTCGTATCAACGTTCCAGCTGTATCTATTAAGGCCTTCCAGGCATCACCTAAGAAATCAAGTTCATGACATTTATGTTGATAAACAACAGACAGTTATCAGTCAGTTATATAACTAAGAACCAATTTCACAAACAAACCCAGAGCTTTAGGGGGTCTTGTACGAAATCCCCTAAGCTTTATAAATAGAGAATTATACCTTGAACTATTAGAAATTGTCATAAATGGCATTAATGCGTTGGGTAAAAGATATAACTAGTAAACTACACTTATTACTCTATACCTACCCTAACCCGAAAAGAGGATAATTATAGCATATACAGTTATAGACTAAGTTCATAGGGGCAACATTGTCCACAAATGTGAAGCAGTGACAGGTTAAACTCACTGTTGTCAGTCATAGTATTTTGGTGAAACAAGTTTAGGGAATATCTCTACTTTATAAAGTTTAGGGAGGTTTTGCATAAAATATCCAAAGCTCATGGGGTCTTGTAAAATTTACCCTGTAACTAAACATAGCAATGAGAAACGTATATATAAAACTAATAGATAAGTTATACTACATATGTAGCCACAATGCCACATAAAGTTACTTAGTTTCCATATGGATTTAATTGTTTTGATTGCTCAGTTTGTGTTGGCAGTTGAAATTCAGTGGAGATCATCCACCAAATATTTCTTCAGTAGAAATCAGTTAGTTTTCAACTACTGGGAATATTTGATTGGTTGGAAGTGGGGATGGAAGTGTGAAAGTGAAGTAACTTTCATGTATTTAAGGTGTCTGTTTAGATGAACATAGCATCTAAAAGTGTGGAGGTGACTTTTGCTACCAAGAATATCCCAAGATTTTCACCCCCACGCGAAATGGGATGAAGTGGATATAGAAATTGAAAAGGTGGGCAGAGAATTTTAATACCAAGTAACATATTATTTGATCCCTTTCCACACTCCCAATAAGGAAAAGTTCAGTACTCCAGTATACTGGCTTCAAAAGAAACAGCAGAAGATTAAGACTTCCAAGTTGAAAAAATAGACATAAACACAACATGTCTCCGTAGATTCACACCTTAATTCTATTCATTGAGATTAGCTTACACAGTGAAGATACTGAACACAGGCAGCATCAATTAGAATTCTCATGTATTGTCCAATTTTCAACACTCTGCTTATATAAGAACATGTTTAGCTATTTATCAAATCAATGTCTGCTTAGCTAATATGAATATGTTTACTGCTTCTGTTGGATCTTATAAATGTAGAGATTCAAGTTCATGGGAAAAAATTTAGAAGATATCCTTGGTCCCCACAAGGTCAGTCATTTCTTAAATTTTCACTGAATTGTTATGTTTCATATTCAGGCTACTGCAAATTTTTCTAATATCAGAGAACAAAGTAATTTTGGGGGATAAATCTTAGTGGAGCCTGTTTCATTACAAACTGTTGGCCTTCTTGTTTTGATGATGTTTAACAAACAATTTACCACTAATGTTGTTTGTCTAG